GTTTAGTAACTGGAAACCATCCAGTTGAGGGGTCCATGCCAGTGTTCCCATCGAGCATTCATCCCTAATGTCTCAAATGATTTTTAAGGAGCTTTCTTTCTTGGTTTGGGGAAGGCAAACAATCCCTCTCACTTCGAAAGGCTGATGTCCTTCCTGTCTCTGTCCCTCTTCATACACTGGCTGGGGAAGCAGGAGGCAGAGTGGCGGCTGGTGTTAGCAGAGCTTGTGCTGACACCTTCCCCAAAGCCCCGAGGAGTGGGGGCTAGATTCCAAGTGCTCAAGCACCCTTTAGAACGTAGGGATGACAACCTTCTTCCTTGGCTTTGGAATTTAGTTGCCATTCTGGCACAACAGGATGTTTTCCGCTGGAAGTCCTGTTACCAGGTGCACGTTGGTCAGCCCAGAGCAGGGAATTCCATGGGTACCTTCATCCTCATAGTCCCCAGCCATATGTCATCTCATGACTCCTCTTTCCTTTAAAACTCATCGAGGGGCATTGAGGATAAGTCTGGGCCCCTCAGTTACCCACAGTTTCTTCTGAGCAGAATGACCCTGCCTGACATACCCAGCAGAGAGAGAAACCATATGCAGAAACTTATACACGGCACCCATGATCCCTCTTGTATGACCCAAGTACGGAGGCTGACCAACAGCCAGATGTTGTAGCCAGATTGATCCAGAATAATTTGCTATTCCTAAATTTCTTTTTCAGTCTTGGTTGTACTTGGTTCCCCCCCCCCCCCATTTTTTTGGTCCATCCTAGCAGTGCATCCGAAGTTCTTATCTTTGTTTTTCTTTGAATAACATCTTTTTTTTTTTTTATCCTTACCCAAGGACATTTTTTCATTTTTTGTTCAGGTAGAGTGGGAGGGAGAGAGAGGAACAGAGAAAGAGAGAGAAACATCGATGTGAAAGGAACACATCGAGTGGCTGCCACCCGCACAACCGACCAGGGCCGGGGACAAATTGCAACCAAGTTACGTGCCCTTAGCGGGAACCGAACCCGGGTCCCTCAGGACCGCAGGCCGACGCTCTAACCGCTGAGCCAAACCGGCCAGGGCTGAATAACATTTTAAAATAGGCTCTCATAGGCAGTAGACTAATTACAAATGTTAGAAAGAAATGGAAAAGCAATTTAGTTAGATTCAAAAGTAAAATGTTATCAGGAGGAGACTGAGTACTCAGCCTTACTCTCCCCTGTGTTGAAATCAGGAGCTATTACAGCTTCTGCCCTGACAGAGCTTGGCAGGAAGGTCTAGGAAAGACCCTCTCATATTTCCCACATAACACATGGGATTGATGGCAGGGACAGCTTCAAAGGTCCTGTGGTACCAGGGTTTTTTTTTTTTTTTAACCAACTTGAGGCTTCAGTTTAAATTATGGTTCCCTTTTCTTCCTGTTCTAATGTTGACCTTTGCACCCCAATGTCTCACTAGTTGAGTTCTAGGTCTTATTTCTAGGCAAGCTAGAAGTTTTGCTAAAGTCTCCCATTTTTTTTTTTTTTTTTTAATCCTCACCTGAGGACTTTTTTCCATTTTTTGTTCAGGTAGAGTGGGAAGGAGAGAAAGGAACAGAGAGAGAGAGAAACATCGATGCGAAAGGTACACATCGAGTGGCTGCCACCCGCACAACCGACCAGGGTCCGGGGACAAACTGCAACCGAGGTACGCGCCCTTAGCGGGAACCGAACCCGGGTCTCTCAGGACCGCAGGCCGACGCTCTAACCGCTGAGCCAAACCGGCCAGGGCTAAAGTCTCCCATTTTATATTCCCTTCTATGAATCAGACTTTCAGGTTTTCAGAACTTATTTTACAGCCAGAATTGAAGATAGGTGGCTAGCATATGTTGTAAATTAGACATTTGAGACATTAAGCACCATTTACTTTTTATTTCTTACCAGGAAAAGTATCAAAGATGTTATGTTAGCTTTCTAGGGCTGCCATGACAGAGTACTACAGAATGGTCACTTAAACAACAGCAATTTATTTTCTCACAATTCTGGAGGCTGGAAGCGTGAGACCAAAGTATTGCAGGGTTGGTTTTCTCCGAGGCCTCTCTTAGACTTTGTTGCCCCTGTGTCTTCATATGGTCTTTTCTCTGTGTGCCTGTGACCTAACCTCTTTTTATAAGGATACCAGCTATTTGGATTAGGGCCCACCCTAATGAAATAGTTTTAACTTAATTACCTTTTAAAAGACCCTATCTTCAAATGAGTCACATTGTGTGATACTGGGGGTTAGGATTTAAATTATAATTTTTTTTTTTTGTGGGGGAAGAGGCTACAATTCAGTCTTACACCAAGGTGTTGGAAAGCAAATTCTATTTTTTCAGAGTCATCACTTGAGGCCCACACATAACCCAGAGAAGACTTGAAAGAGAAATCAAAGCAAAGGAACCCGTTTCGATAATGCGTGAGAAGCTCGTGGAAGGACTTTTAAGTCAGCGAATCTGAGAGTGATTGGATGTGTGCCTTGTGCCCCAGATGAGGCTGTGCTGGTTTGGTGCTCCTTATGCTATTAGAATTAGAAAGGACAATAGAAAACAGTGGCATTGGATTTGTAGACATCAAGAGGACTGGATATTGCCCTTGGGGTTTTCCTGGAGGTAATCCAAAGGTTTTCCAAGGGACTAGAGTGGCTCATTCAATTTAGATGATTGAGAGAGACAAAAGCCAGGTTGGTGGGGAGAAGAGAGGAGACTAACATCGAAGGGATATGGCAAAAACTACTTCATGATGGCTAAGGATGCTATCTCCATTGGATCATCATTGCAGAATAGAAGGAGTAATGAAAGCCAGTCACCAATCTCAAAAGCAAGCCCTACCCATCATCCATGGTGCCAAATGAATGGAGTAAGGTCAGATATCAGAAATAGGTTTCAGTATAGGGTCAAAATATAGACTACTCTAAAACAAGAACTGCTCTGTCTTTGGAGACATCAGGGGGAAGTTGCATAAGCCCTGAGAGTTAGAAACAGGACTTGGAAGAAGCACTGATAACTGTGAGAGGTGGGGAATGAAGAATGGGGCTAATTTATAAATCTAAAGTCACTGCAACATTATTTGACTGGGTTGAGAAAAGTCAGAATTGAGTTACATTAGGTAGACTGAGGGCTCAAAACCAAAAATAAAATTAAACTGTAGAAATGAACTTACAGAAATAAAGTTGCATGTCTGCATGCCCAATTTGTTTTTTTTTCTTTTAACAAATTTTTATTGAGTAGCTACTCAATCCTTTTTTTTTTACGCTCATTTTTATTGTTCTTGAGACTTATGGGAACTGTAAAGTTCGCTTGTAATATGTACTAGTACTTTTTGCTCCCATGCACATAGCAGACATTGTAGTCCATCTTTTTTCATCCTTCTCCATTCAGCCCAGAGATAGGGAAAATATTTTTCACTGTATAGTTCTTATTAAATGATCAGAGTAGGCATGGAAGTGAAAACTAATTTGCCATTAATGTAATAAAGAAATGAAAGGGGGTGTGATAGGGATGAGGGCATCTGCAGGGAAAAAGGAGAAACATCTGTAATGAAATAAATTAATAAATAAAAAAAAAAGAAATGAAATTCAGCAACATATACTTACCCAGACTTTGCCTTGCCCTAGATGAGTGATGATTGAGGCAAAATCAAAGGAGGTTAAAGACTCTTTATTCCATCATTTAAAAACTTTAAAATCATCCATTTATTTCTTGTCTAAAATACCACAAGAGAGCCCGGCTGATGTGGCTCAGTGGTTGAGCATCAACCCATGCACCAAGAGGTCGCTGGTTCAATTCCTGGTCAGGGCACATGCCCGGGTTGTGGGCCAAATCCCCAGTGGGGGACATGCAGGAGGCGGCCAATCGATGTTCTGTCTCATCGATGTTTCTGTCTCTCTTTCCCTCTCCCTTCCTCTCTCTCTAAAATCAATAAGGAAAAAAAACTATAAAATACGATTCATTTGTTTGACTTAGACATTTCCATCTATTAAAATACAAACACCAAGAGAGAAAGAGAGAGAGAGAATCACATTAAACTGCTGTTTTTCTTCACAGCACAAGGTAAAGTGATTCATCAGACTAGTATATAATTGCCATATAATTCATTCTCCAACGAAACGGAAGCCTCTTTTTCACCAGGCATTCTAAACAAAGCTTCTTACTAGTAGTTGACATCTATTTTCTTTTACTCTACTCCAGTGGCCATAGGAAACATTTCTGATTATATGGAATAAATCTTTATTCTTAAGAAAAAAAAAGACAGAAGAGACATGGAAACACAGGCATCTTGAGAGAGAAGAGCACACAGGCAAGTATCCCAGGGAGAGTCAGGCGATGAATGAACCTGGAGCACAGGAAGGGGAGGAAGAGTAGAGACCAAAACATGTGTAGAGGCTGGCTCACTAACAGTCAGTTGGGTAATTGATGTCAGTTGTTGGGGATCTAATACCCAGAGCCCAGGATATCCAGCTGTTGGGAGAATGCAAAGAAAAGGACTGTAGTTCTATGATGCCATGATCTGGGAACAGGCTCTACATTGGGAAACTGCTAGTTTGATAGGAAAGTCACACACACACACACACACACACACACACACACACACACCCCTGCAAAAAATTTCTAGCAGTTTCAAGGTGAATAGAGTGGTTGTGTGTGCAAAAACATCTCTGCACATATATAGATTTCTATATAGATAGGTACAAAAATGTTCTGGATATTCAGTGACCAAACTCAGCTGAATTTATAAGTAGATGGAAATATGGGAGGTTCCAAATAAAGATGGAAGGAGTAAAGAGAATGTGATTTTATGGAATGGAGAGATACTATGGGGTGAGTCTGCAGTCACAGTCTAGGTACTAAGACATGAGTGGAACTGTCCTGCCATGGCGTGACAGAGACCACAGGTTGGAAAACCACAGGGTTCAGCTACGATGACTGAGCATTTCTCCACCAAAGACTTGCCTTAGGTGCTGGTGCATGTATCTGTCTGTGTGCAAACACACACACCCATCCCTTGCAGTTAGGGTCCATTAATTTTGTTGGTTGTTGCAGTAGAAAGCCTATCCATTTCAGACTTAATCCTACTTATCAGTTTCCCTAAGCCCCGTTTCATGTCTTTGTTTCTTAAACTGTAGATAAATGGGTTCAACATTGATGTCAGTACCGTGTAGATGATTGTTGCTATTCGGTCCTTGACGGTATAGCTTGACAACGGCTGGAAATAGACATAGCTAATACTCCCATAAAACAGAGTCACCACAGTGAGATGGGAGCTGCAGGTGGAGGAGGCTTTGCGTTTTCCAGCAGCTGAGGGGATATTGAGGATGGCAATGAGGATCCTCAGGTAAGAAATGATGATGCAGGCAAATGGGGCCATCACAGAGGCCAGCCCTTCTGTCATGGCCACAACTTCATTGACAGAGGTAGAAGAGGAGGCCAGTTTCAGAACAGGGTTGACATCACAAAAAAAGTGATGGATAATGTTTGATGCACAAAAGGTGAGTCGATTCACCAGGAGAACATGGAGGAGGGAGTGGAGGCAGGAGAAAGCTATCGAGAAGACCAGTAGCAACATACAGCATCTGTGGTTCATAATAGTGACATAGTGGAAAGCGTTACAAATGGCTACATAGTGGTCAATGGCCATAGCTGCCAGAAGATAACTGTCCACATTTCCAAAGACCAGGAAGAAATACATCTGTGCCAGACAGTCAGCATAGGAAATGGTCTTTGTGTCTGATAAGAAGTTCACTAACATTTTGGGGACTATGACTGTTGTGTAGCAAATATCAGCAAAGGACAAGACGCTCAGGAAAAAATACATGGGGTTTTGGAGTTGAGGATCAGAGCGGATAGTCACGATGATGAGCAGATTTCCCACCAAGGTGACCAGGTACATGATAAAAAAGAGGGCAAAGAGTGGCTTCTGGTCCTCGGGGCGAGAGGAGAGTCCCAAAAGGATGAATTCGGGGAGTCTTGTCAGGTTACACATCTTCATGGACACATACACCTACAGATAAACAACACTGTCAATAAATAATTCTTGTTATCTGGAACAAGCATCTTTCCATCTTGTTCTTACACTGAGCTGTTATTAATAGAGCATTTACTTTAATGTTCTTCTTCCTGAATATGGAAAAATCAGAGCTGAAAGTGTGTTTTAAATTGTTCTGTTTAAATCTTTGAGATAGAGATATAGAGAAACAGATTCGAGGTAGGGGGGAGGGTGGAGAAAAAGAGAGACTAGAATGGAGAGCTTGATTTTCTTTTCTGCTTCTTTACTCTGGTCCAGTAGTCACAGGCACCACAGATGTGGGCTGTGAATCAGGTTCAGGTCCGCTTCAGAGCAGGGATCATCGGTGGCTAACCCCCATCAGATAATCATGAGATAGCTCTCTCACCTAGCTTGTGATTGATGAAGAACCATCAGTTTAAGTCAGGATGTTTCTTTCCACATCTTCTACAATGGAAGCAAGAAAGTCATTTAAAGAACATTGAATTGAACGTAAACAGTTTAGGGCAAAGAAAGATAGAGGAAGGGAAAGTGAGAAAGGGAGGGAACTTGTGTGAGAAGGTTCTCTCCCAAACTTCTGTGCTTTTTGGCTGGTATTTTATATCCTGAGGCCTGAGGCCTGTGCCTCACAAGTAAACTAGGCTAAAGGAAGATTCAACCTTCGAGTATAGAAAAAACATCAACATTTAGCATGAACATAAGTTAGCTCTCTTATTTAGTGTCCAGTGGGGACTAATCACCCCTCTGAGATCAGATATTCCTACCTTCTCATCAGGCGTTCTCAAAGTTGATGTCTTACCTGGAAAGGACATTGAGTTCTTGCCTCATGTATTTTATTCATTTACTCCCCTCGTTTGTGTTCCATGGAATGATTACTCAAAAAGAAGACAAAACTCTGCCAAGAGACAGCATGAAGAAAAGGTACCTGATGAAAATCTCTGTTTCTTGAATCCGAATGCTTCCTTCCCTGGATTCTTATCCCCTTTCACAGATACAGATACTCATATCCCCTGCTTCCCTCATGGGACTGTATCTTCTGAGACCGTGTCACTCAGTCTCTGGTGCTTGAGGAGGGAGAGAGCAAGAAAAAAAATATCTATTAACTTAGTGCAAGATTGTCTCCAAGGATCCAGAGGAATTATGTGTTCTCCCTTTCTAAGTGGCCCGCATCCCTCTCCTTGACTCGGGGTATAGTGCAGCATCTGCTCAGCCTGGCATGGGTGTTGGAGATAGATAATACTTTTCTGTCCCTGGCTCTTCCAACCTTTCTGGGGGCTTATCTAGGAGATGTCATTCCCATGTAACACTGAGGACAGAGTACCAGGCAGGACATCGGGGTCCCATTTTCCCCTTGAACCTATAGAGCTTTGCTTAGGCCTCCCCTTGGTGCCTCCATTTCTCTGAAGGACAACTACTCAGAGTATCCCAACATTGGCACCTTCTGCTCAACCCCTTCCAAGTTCAGATACATTCTGCTAGTTTAGTAGCTGTGGCTTTATGACTCTATCCTCCAACAAAAGGGAGTGTCATAACCTTTGAACCCAACCTCAGGTCTCCCTTCCATTATTAGTCAACCCCCATTCCTTGTGGTTACAACTAGGGAAGCCACCATCTTCAGATCTTTACTCTTCTTAATTCATGAAAGCACACAGAATTCATACATCAGGGTCCCAACATGCCCTGCCAGATGTAGAGTGCCCACTTCCTGTCACTGATTTCTGATCACATCTTATAATTCACTCACCTCACTTTCATATATTTCTCCCTTCACCTGGGTCTCTAGGCTCAAATGAAGCTTCCTACAAAAAACATTTTTTGATGACTAATGGAATGTCTTCTCTGCTCCCTTAGTATGTGAATTGTCATTAAACACAAATCACTTTCATTGTCAAATCATTTTCACTTGAAGGAAGACAACTAACATTTATTCCTCAGTGCTTTATTTATTTTTCATGCTAACCACCCAACAGCCTCATAACGTGTACTTATGTCTCTATTTTTATAATGACTTAGAAAAACAGGGCAACTGTTAAACATACATTGAACCAAAGGCTGTTTGAAGCCAAAGCATGTCGTTGAACCACTACACTAAAAGGCATCTTTGTTTTGTTTCGACAGAGTTAACATTTTATATTAAGGAACAGCTTTCAAATGACTAAAGGAGCCAAAATGTTGCCTTACTTTTTTCTTTGCCAGATTAAACTTGAAAGCATATACTTTTAGCATAAGGACTACTTTTCTTTGAAGCACTGATTCAAATGCAGGCATAATTCCAGAAACTATGTATTTTCTATGATCCAGCTCTCATATTTTATTGATAGCTGATATCTGAGAATCATATTTTCCCACCTTTTATATGGAATAAATTTAAATCTGTGGCATGTCACAAATAATTGGCAGCATTTTTTCCTCAATGGTACATTACAAAAATGCATCTTATGCTCAACTTCACTAGCTATTTTCTTGTCAAAAAGGTGAGGTGGGTGGGGATGGATAAATGAAGGTGAAGGGATTGCCAAAGAACATATATGCATATAGCCCATGGATACAGACAATAGTGTGGTAAAGGCCAGGGAAGGGAGTGTGGGGGCTGTGTAGAGGTGGCAAAGGGGGGATAATGGGAGACATTTATAATAGTGTCAACAGCAACAAAAGATCAATTGACAAAGATAAATGGGTTTATTTCTAGACTCTCAATTATATTCCATTGATCTGTATGTCTATCCTTTTGCAAGTACCACATTCTTTTGATTGTGGTCACTTTGTAGTAAGTTTTGAAAGAGGGATGCATGAGTCCTCTAACATTTTTTTTCCCAAATATTGTTTTGTGTGTGTGTGTGTGTGTGTGTGTGTGTGTGTATGATTTTTCTTGTTGATCTTGTATTCTACAAATTTACTGAATTTTTTTTTTTTAAGCTCTATTTGTTTATTAGCTCTGATAGTTTATTTGTGGAAGACATTGCGTGGTTTTCTTGTGGAATTTCCTACTGTCTGGATTTGTCTTATTTTATCACTACATTGTGTCACTACATGTTCTTCTGTACTCTGTATTTTCCACAAATTTGAAGTTGAATGTAGAAGCTTAATCAGATTCATGCTTGACTTTTGGAAAGGGGAGACTTCTTCATAGGTGGTGGTGTGTTCTTCCGTTAGTGGTAGACAAACTGCCTATTTGTGTTACTTTTCATCGACATTAGCAGCTGTTGCTATTTAATGTCTAAGTCTATTAGAGCAATAATTAAAGTAATAGATGTGTACATGCATAGGAAGGGGTAAGTAGTCAGGTGGAAGGAGAAAAAAAATACAGCCTAAAGTCCAGGACTGTCTACTTAGGGTGAGACTGGTAGAAATGAATCTCATTCAACCGTTTTCATTCCCCTTATCTCCTTCCTCAAATTCTGGAGTGGGAGGGCACTAGACAATACCATCAGCCTTTACCCATTAAGGGAAGAAGTCACTTCCTCAAAGTAAGTAGGATGGTTAGAAAGTAAAATAGCTGCTCTGCAAACAAAAATAAATGCATTTTATTATTTTAAGGAAATTGATTACATTTTGATTGATTAGAATATTTTTCTGTTCCCACTGAATTTTGATCACATTTACCAATTAGTAGTTTGGTTTTTTAGCACAGGACCGAGCTGCTTCTGTGCAGGTCCGTGGTGGAAAATACTGGTATGTACTCGATTTGCGACCATTTCCATAATACATAACCCCTATCAATAAGCCATATGTCATTATTATTATATTTTAAAATGAGACCAAAAATCTCTCCAGTTTGCATATAGTCTCAGATTTTTTGATGTGGTGTTTCACCTTCTGCTTTTTTTTTTGATACTCAAAGACTTGTTTAAATCAAGTATTCTGAGGATGATAGTTCTAAAATAGATAAGCAAGATGGCTAGATGAGATCCAGCTAAAGGATACAACTGGGTGAGGGCAGGAAATGAGGAAGTCACTGGTGAGCAGGACGAAACATGACAGTGGTCAGAGCTCTCCTATTGCTATCTCATACAGCCCCATGCCTTGCAAGTAATGCAGCTGAGTTAAGACATTACAGAAAGTATAGGAAAGATGGTTTCTTCAGGTGATGACATGAGAATTAATTTCCCCTTAAGGTTTCTTCTTGCCCAACTGTTGACATTGTGCAAGGCTGTGGTGATCCCCAAAGGATAGACCTTCCCTACAGATAGTATTGTTTTCAGAAGCGTTATGGTTTTGCCTCAGTGAGATCTAGGTATAAGGAAGGAGAAGGAGCAGACTTCTGAGCTACAGTCTTAGTAAAGAAAGATAGAGGGGCTCTGCCCATTCTAATCAATATTTCATCCGAACACATTTGGAGTCTTCTGGGGTTGGTGGAGTCTCAGACTGTGTACATGTAAGTGAGGCTGCTTCTCTAGGATATGCTGCCCTAGAGAAGGCTTTTATGGAGAATTACACAAAGGTAATCCCTAATGTGAGATTGTGAGAGTGTGGCTAAGAGCTCCACCCAGATTTTCTGACTTGAGTGTATGACGTTAGATACAGAGAAAAGGTGAGAATAAGGTTACACTCTACCCTAGTGGTAAATAGAAAGGAATAGAAAATAAGACATTGTAATCCTCTTGTAGAAAATAGTATGATGTTTATACCGAGAAGACCAGTGAATAGAATGAAGTACAAGTATTATACTCAAGGGAAGCAATGTGATGGAGGAATTGTCAATAATAACATAGAAAGGTAGGTGTTTGAATGAAAATATGAAGGTTTAGATGGAGAATATAGTCATGCAATCATAACTTTCTGGTACAAGAAATGTGTGATGAAGGATCTCATTTATTTTGTGAGGATATGGAAGATATATTCTTGAAACAGAGAAAAAGGAAGTTCTGATTTATATATCTCAGATCCAGTATTTTTTTCATCAACACAAGGTAGAGGCTTGAAATAGAATTTAGACCAAGAAGACATTCATTAGTGCATATTCCTAAGATTTAGATATTGATAAAACAGCGAAGACTCATGCCCTTTTGTGCTTTCATCAAAGAAGAAAAAGACAAGAACAAGCAGGGTTCGGCCTTGACACTC